GCAGCCACACACATGAACATTCACACAATATCAACTAAAACACACTCAAATGTGCATCGCAAGAAGGCAAAAGATGAAAGGTGACAATAAAAGAACTGAGAAGACACACACAAAAAAAATGTCTCACATTGCGATTGAATTTGTGGTTATTAAGTTAAGAGAAGCTCTGCTACATCCTGTGAGACTTTATGTGTGTATGGAAGAAAAATGCATAAATTCCCAATTTGATGCGGCGATTGTGAAGAGAGGAACGACAAAATTCCTCGGGAATTCAACTGTCACACTTGAAAGTTCCTTGGAAATGTTCTTAAAGTAGCATATGGATGCGACAGTAAATATTCTCATGCAGGTGATGAATGAAACAATGGAAATAATATTTTTACAGAAGGCACTCGGGCTTGTTTATTTAATTCATAAGAAATTTTTGTTAATGAAATGGATGAAAATGAAAGGATGACCGCAGTTGTTGTCTGTTGCATGCTTGCTGCTACCATTATACACATTTTGGGTTTATTCATTCTTAGAATTTTTGGCTACCATTATTGGATTTTTAAATGGAAGATATGGCAGATGATTATTTTGTTTTTTAAGGATGGCGCTTGCTGGATGTCCATTATTTTTGATTTTAGGGATTCTAATATCCATGTCTTTAACCAGAATTCCATCTTTAAAGTTACCCATAACCCAATGCTAATCCAAATCAATCACAAAATCCAGTCCAATTCCAAGTAAATCTCAAAAGTACAAATAATATAAAAATAATTGACAGGCACAACAGAAGAGAATAAAAGCTTATAAATTAACATAAATAAGCGCCACTTTATAAGACACAAGTCAAAACACAAATCCATCATGTCATTGTGGAGAACAATACAGTACAGAGCACAAATAAAGAGGAACGAGAGGGAAAAAGAAGATTTTTTTTTATATGAAGTGAAAATTAAATGAAGATCGAGACAGTTTGGGGTTGCCTTATAAAGCAACAGTGCTGTTATTATATGCTGATTAAGGAGATTTTCTTAAAAGGCATTCTGTAATTTTAGAAACTTTAAGGTTCTTAAGGTTTTATGTCTCTGCAGGCAAAAAAAAATTCGAACCAAAGAAATTTTACAAATCACGTTTTCTAGGATTTGAACCTTAGTAATTATCAAAATGTTTTGATACTTTTATTTGTCAATTTTAATATCATAACTCAAATTGGCAGTAAGGTTATCATGTTTCATATAAAACTAATATTTCTAATATTCAAAATTTTTAAAAAAATTCTCTTATTCAATATTCTTTCATAAACGCATTTAACATTGATTTACACCATGCTGATAATAAAGAAGAGAAAGTATCAATACAATATAATGATATGAAAATGGTGATGATCATCTTCACAATATCCACGCCATATGCTTCTCATTAATATCATTTCTGTTCTTCTTTCGGTGACGCTTCAATGAAAAAGAAACAAAAAACATTTCTTCCATTAAAAAGCTTTTTTCTGTATAATGCGATCGGGAATGGCTTATTTATGTAAATTATTGTCATCCTATGATATTCTATTACGACTTTGAAATATGAACTGACAAGTGTTGACTTCTTTGCTTGTAGTTCCTCTAGTTTTATTGCAGTTCATAAATTTGAATTTGACTTTATGTTAATTTTGAAGTAAAATGAGCGTTCAGGTGAGTTTTACATGCATTAGTGCACTTTATATTAATGGGATGGGTTTCGATTGCTTTTATGGACAATTACTATAAATTTTGTTTAATAGGGAATTAATCATGAAGGTTTTATGAAGGAAAACGAACAAAATTGATTTATTTTGTAGCAATTTTAATAATATTGATGTCTTTTAAGGACATTTTTTAGGGACTAGGTTTGTAAGTAAAGGTGGATAAGGAGTAAAACTGGTTGTTGTAGCAGATTGAAGCATTAAAAATCCTTAAATAGGTTCTTAAATTACATGAACTATGGAAGCTTGGATCTCCTTGCTTAGGTGAAAATCACCGAACCTTATAAATTTCTATTAAGCTTTAAAATACCCAATTCATCATTAACTTAACAAAAACTCATTAAACAAATCGTAATTCCACCAAAAATTCAACCACTAATCCTGAAATAAATCACTCCAACTCTACATATCGCACATGTTAAAGCTTAACACAACAAACTCTTTTCACCTAGAAATCATTAAATTTCCATTTTAAATTATTTATTCAGTCGCATCCTCTCAAAGCTACTCGTCTCTTTATCTATTTTAAATAAAATCGATGTCCATTTATAACGAAAAGGATTATCGAATTGATTCTATTGAAATTCTAATTTTCCCGTGTTTCTAAAAAGTCATAAAAATTCCTTAATAATCAACTTTTAAATTTAAGTATCACATGATAAATCTCCATTCTAATTCTCGCATGCATAAATAATTTCATTTAAATTAAAGCCAGCAAAGAGGAAACAAATAAACAAGAAAATGAAATCAAATCAGAATTCTCTAGCTGCTACGTTGAGCAACAGAAGTTCATTCATAAAAAATATAAAATTATTGAAACAGAGAAAAAAAAAATCATAAAAGGAAGCTAAAGCAATAATAATCAAGTTTGTGGAAGAAGAAGCCACGAAACAAGAAAAGTGAAAGAGAGAAGAACCATTTTTGATCATCAGGCCATTAAAAACCATTCAAATAACAGAGAAGAAAACAAAATATGTTTTTTTTTTCAAATTCTTTATTAGCGAGATTTTTGAACGAGTTTGTGGGGGAATTTAGAGATTGGATGCTTGGCCGGCAATATTATAAAGCTTGTTGGAGTTCAAATCCTCACTTTTACATCATAATTGGGTTGCTGGTCTTTAATATGCTCAGTTATAGTGTCTATAGGAGAACTGATCAGAAATCATGATTTCAGAATCAAAATACACTCCAAAAAACTTCGCCTCTACTTCCCAACCACCATTGCTCCTCCAATATCACATTCTATCTATCCATTTATCTATTCATGTATATAGTCGTTTCTCTTTTTTCTTAGCTTATAAAAATGCTAAATATATGTAGACGTAAATAGAAATAAAAAGGCACATAGAGATAAATGCCGACTAAAGGCATCATCCAACAGTATGATCATCAACGACGATCATTATCATTAAGAATTACTTAATGAAATATGTATTTCCTCTCATCATCATCATCATCACCGTCCATGCATTTTTTGGATTCTAAAAAGTCAATTTAATGTCCAAAATTGAATTTCTTGTTCTTGATGCCTTCAAGCCTTTTTTCTTCTGCTCTTTGACGATCTCCACGCCCACTTAACACATACAGACAGAAATTAATGTAGCATCATTAGATTATCCAATTTGTTCATGTTCTGAAGTGTGTACGGGATCAGAAGGAAGGGGAAATGAATTGAATACATGCGCAATGGATGATTGTGTTAGTGACAATGATCAAGATTCACCTTTTTGCATGCCTTATTTTTGTGCCAAATTACCCGATTTATGAATTTTGTTTCTTCTTCTTCATTCATTTTTTAATTCATTGAATTTTTGACAATAGACTTCTAACTGTGAATGAATCTCAACTGGAAATTTTGAGTTTTTTTTGAGTCTCTCAAGAGATTTTTGCTTTTGAACCGCATGCCGGCAAAACATCCAAGATGAATTTAATCTAATAAAATGAACAAAAGCTGAAAAGATGGGCAAAAAGATCAAAAGGAGATTTGCTGGCTGCTGCTTATGCCTTTCTTTGCATGTGTATATCTTTTTCTGTGAAGTCATTCATAAATTACATTTTATTTTCATGTCTTGTGCAGTTGATTATGAGAAAGAATTGAATATATTTTTGTGATGAGGATTTCTTGTTTAAAGGCTATCATTTTTATTTTTGGAAGCTGTGAGAATGAGTCAGGGATTTTTGATTGTGTCGGGTTTTGTAATGGAGAAATTGTTTTTCCTAAGAAATTTTAGAAATTATGGAGAAGTTATGGTTAATTAAGGAATGCATTTGATTCTTTGTTTATGGTCGTTGTGGGAGAAAATGTGCCTTTGCAGCTACGTGTTAGAAAATGGATCAAAATTGATAAAACTAGCTTTTAAGGCTCTTTTTGTCACACATTTTATATTGCAATTTTGTTGCACATTTAGCAGGTCCCTAGAACTATGCCTGACTATATTTTATAGTAAGCCCCAAACTATCAATTAATACATATTTCAAAAATTTCATTTGTAGAATCCATTTTCAACTTTTTACTAAAACTTAACTACGTGAGCTTCAACCAGTAGCCCAATAATCCATACATACCCAACAACAGTCAACAAATCACAATTTACAACTTTTCCAGACGTTTTTCACACGCCGTTTAAATCACCAGACTATTCCAGACACAAAATCATTCTACAACCTTCGAAAGCAGGAAGTTTTCAATTTACAATAATTGTGAAATCGGAATAAACAAGAAAAGCTTAAAATTTATTCACGAGAAAAGCTCATTCGATCCTCAACTCGATGCTTCTTGTATTTACGAGTTGATTCGTTACTTTTTCACATCCACAGCTATAAATCTTTAACATCTCTACATGTCTGCCTACCAATATGATCATTACATATGGATGTATGTGTGTAACAATCACAACAACACACCTTCATCTACAGACCGGTGTCACAACGAACAATAAACACAACACAGTAAAAAAAAGTGTGGAGAAATTCAATAAAAAAAAAAGTTCTTCTTCTTCATTTTTTTCGCTCTTCTCTTCCTCTGCCTTCGACACACAAAAAATCGTTTCCCCCATTTTAGTTTCATTTGGTTATTAGACAAAAACTGATCGTGACTCTCGGACAGGGAGCTAAGAAAAAAATAATTATATTTTTTTAAAGTGAAGAAGGAAATAATAAAAAATAAATTTTTGGATGCTTAAAAAGTGAATAAAAAGAAGAGGAAAAATTGGAAATTTAGAATTTTCGTGGATAATTTGGAAAAATAGAAATTGAGGAAAATTAATTTTGGACTTTAAAAAAATTCAGTGAACAAATTTAATTTCAGTGAAAAAAACCTTTTGAAAAATCGTGAAAAAATAAATTTCAAATTCACCAAATATGATCCAGAGACCCTCATCAAGAAATCATTTAAAATAAATCGAAAAAAATAGTGAAAAATTAATTTCGAGGATTTAAAAAGAAAACCAAAAAAGTGAAAAATGATGGAATTAATTCGACAATTTAACGACTGTAGGATTGGTGGATGTGTTTAATATGATTAAATGAGTGTGGTTAATTAGTGAACCATTTGAATAAGGGATTACACACCTAACATAAATGATTTATTTTGACAGCATTTAAATTACAATTTATCAGATTTTCATCTGAAAGTGAACTTATAAAAGTGATTTTTTTGACTGAATTTTGTGAATTAAAAATTATCGAAATTTCCGAAATTTCTGAGAATTTTTCTTGAAAATTCTCGAAGAAAACAGAAAAAATGTGCAACACAAAAAGCTTAAATCCTTTAGTGAATCTTAGAATAATGAAGTCAATATTTCTTATACTTATATTAACTGTCAATTCCGCTCTCACATGCAGTCCCATCCGTGGAATGGGATCGAGAAGAAGTCGAAAATTGACACCGTTAGTATTCAAGCAACATGTACCAAATGTTTTAGAGAATACGCTCGGTGCGTCGGGACTGCATGAGGGAAAAATATCGCGAGAAGATCCACGCTTCAAGGATCTGATACCGAATTATAATAAGGATATTATTTTCAAAGACGAGGAAGGCACTGGAGCTGATCGATTGATGACTTTGGTGAGTTTAAAAATTTTTAATAATTTTTATTTAATTTGCTGAATATTGGAACTTAAAATGTCATTTTTGAGGATTTTACACTTTTTTAATGAAAAAGTCAAAAAATTCAATTTTCTTAGATTTTTTTTTCAAAAATTTTCCATGACATTTTCAACTTTACAGCCTAAAAGGCCACAAACTAATAACACATCAATAACAATTTACATCCCACATAGTGATTCCGTGAGAACAATCACATCTGACTGATAAGCTTCAATGATATTAATGAATTCGAATAGATTGCTGTGTCGATTTACAGCTGCGCTTAATTGAAAGCTTGCGTATAATAAATCAACTTATTTGGTGACAAAAAAATTGTTTTGAATCATCAATTTACACGTTTTCTGGTGTTTCTAAGCTGGTGACTATACAGTCATGTGGTTTGAGTTTCTGGTGAATTTGTTAGTGAGAATTAGTGATTAAGGTTGTTGATAATTGGGATTCTAGAAAGAGTTCATGAAGAATTAATGAAATTTAAATCAAAAAATAAATTTTTGAAAATATTTTTCTTTTAAAAATTACTAAGTTGCAGCTACTCAGTGTAATATTACAAAAATATTTATAAAAACTCACGAAAAAAACCTGTAAAGTTGAACAAACTTATTAATTAAGAGAAGCAATTAACACTTAATTTTTGACTAATCATAAATTACTCAATAGTTTCACATGCTAAGATTTTTACTCATCTCCGTAAAATAACACATTGAGTTTTGCTGTTATTTCACGTCTGTTTAAAATTTTAGACGCAGTCATAAAATAAACAAATTTTTAAAAGTAAGGAAATTAGTTTTTGTTTGGAGATTTCAAAATTGTTGGTGTGGTTTTCTTGGGTTTGAGTGGATTTACGACTGATTTTTTTTTAAAATGTTATTTAAAATTTTTTTTAAATTGAAAGTTTCGAAATTTTATGAATTCTTTTTTTCAAACTTTAAAAAATAAAACGAAAATATTTTTTCAACCTTATGAAAAATTTAATTTCCAAAATTAAATCTTCAATTTCCAAAAATCTACTCAAAGCCATCAGCATTAACCATAAAAATTCCATCAACTCAAATCTCCTATTTTTATACAATTTTATTCCAAAAAAAGTCAATGAATTCACTTAAATGTTATCGATTAAAAATCAGCCATTAACACAACTTTAAATTTAAATTTCAAATTTTTTCATGGCGTCACTCTCATCTCATTTCGATTTCAATTTTCAATATTTTATTCATCATTATTTGTGTGCGATAGAAATGAAAATAAAAATTAAAGAAGTTCGCAGCATGGCGCTTTTAAAAATGCGTTTCTGCTAATCATGGAAAGAAAGAACCAGAAAAAGTTTCTCATCTCCATTTTGAGAATGAAATTATTTTTTTTTTTGTTCTTAATTTATGCGACTATGGCAGGTGATGATGGTTGTGTCTCATGATAATTATAAATTTTTTTCTGTTCTGCTCATGATGGAATTTCTTCCATAAAAATATTTTTTTGACATTTTTTCTTTTCTGTCTCATTTCTTGGTCATTCTATGTCTTATATATTTTGGGCCTTTTTATGTGCTGTTTATCCAACATTGTTGGGAATTTAATTGCTTACATGTAAGTACGCAGAAGTAAGGAGACGTGGAAAAATGTGATGTGAGGAAATGTGTTGAGGTTTTGTGGGTTTAAAGCGCTTTTATTGCCCTATTGCTCAGTTTTTCTCACTTTTTGATGAAATTAAAAAAAATTATTAAGTCAAACTGACAAAATGCACCCAAATCCCCATCACATCGTCTCAGATCCAACTCCCCGTGAGCAAAAACACAAAAAAAAAGCCATGTACGAAAAAGAAGAGAAGGAACAAAAATATCAAATTTCAATTTTTAAATTATGCTCCTCGCCAAAGTGAGGCCAAAGAAACTTCTTTTTTTACATCACGAAATGACACACGAAAGAGAGACAGCAATGCATGGCAAACTACTTTTCTTCCCTTCTCATGTATCTCTTTAACTTTAATTTTTATCTTAATTTGATTAAATTAGTTGATGTTTTATGACAATGGCTTGTTCAAACTCTGTTCACTGTCCAATTTATTTCACACTCATGTCTGTGTAACTTGAGGAAAAAAATTTGCATTTCAAGAAGTTCTCGCTTTTTGCTTGTTGCAGTTGGAATTATTTATGGCGACTTAAGCTGCGATGATTGTTACGTGATATTTTTCTTTTTGCTATGTTGAGAAGCTTTTCTTAATGCTTTAAGATGTGACATTGTGCCAATCCTTGATTTTAATAGAGCTATAAATTATTGTATTAATTATCATTTGGTGAAATATGGCGGGATGTCAATGAAGCAAAGCTATTGAATTATTTTTGGCTTGTCGTAAATTTCTGGATTTAAAGATTTTTTATGGCTTAAATGTCTGAAATTTTTGCACATTTGAATGAAATTTTTCAATCTTGCTAGGTTTATCTTTAAGAGTAGTACAGACCCTACTCCTTTAAGCTAAGCCTTTATTTACTCAACATAAAATCCAATTGTACCTCTAACCTCATCAGCTACCGCATACAGCCGCTAATTTTTCTCAATTTAATTTTCACATTACACCGTCTAACAAAAGCCGTGTCTACAGTGTTGATAATGATGAATATAACATTAATATATGTATACACACATAATAATAATAATCTTCTTTTCATTGTTAATAACACAAAAGGTTGAACATTATGAAGTATAAATAAACAAACAAACAAAATGCCAATGCAGTCGAGAGAGATGAGAAATTACTACCTCAGTATGTAAATAATAAAAAAATTCCTTCATTATATCTCGAGCCCCGTGAATGCATCGAGCAAGCCTTTTTGTATCCCCATTGTGCCACATACAAGCAGTTAGTCAGTCAGTCAGTGCCTCATGTTTATTCGATTATTGAAAGATTAAATATTATTTAAAAAAAAAGAGAAGTTTGCCGCCTCTCACACATAAATGCTAAGTGCATGACTTACTCACTTAAATGCATCTAAATAAAGGATATAAAAAGTGCTGTATATGCAAAGTGGATTTTTGATTAATCTTCAGTTTTGTTGACTTATCGCCATGTGGCATTTAAAATGTTGTTCATGTTTTGCAACTCGAAAAATTAATTTTTTTAAAATGAATTTTTTTTTGTTGAGCAAAAACACGAGAAAAGAAGAAAAATTGTTGGTTTTCAGCATTTTTTAAAGGTGAGCATGCTTTGTGGCTGAATTGAGGTTAGGTTAGATTTGATTTGAAATGAGGTTAGAATATGATTTTTTTGAGGTTAGTTGAGGCGATTTTTGAGGTAATATAGAATTTTTTGAGACTATTCCTTTCAACAGCTAAGCAAGAACCCCCAAAAATGTATCAGAACTAACAAAATGCTTGTCTCCACATTCCATCCTTCCCTTGCTTTGCATTCCCACTGTACAAATCCACAATAACGATAATAAATTAATATAACGCCCACATGAATTCACGAGATGAGAGATGATCATTCCAGAATGCGCACGGTATGCTTTAAGTGGAGCGGGATTTATGGGAATATAATCTCTTTTCAACTATCTCAAAAATATAATTCATTATTAATAAATTACAAAGTGTCGCGCGTAAAATAAAATCTTCAAAAAAAAAATAAATAAGATCCAACTGAAATGATTAATTGTGGATGGTGAAATTGATGAAGATTAAGAGTTGAGATAAAAAATTTGAATTGTATGAGATTTTGAAATGGACACTCACGCATAGTTTTTGAAGGTATTTAAGAGAGGAATTGTATAAATGTTGCGGGGATTTTGTCAGAAAGTTTACAAAAAAATGGACACAAAATAACGATATCGATGAATGATCTGATTTTAAACCGAAATTGATAGATATAGGATTTGAACCCTTGTTATTATTACATTATATAATCATTAATTGCATTAGAGTCGTAATTTTGTATTTACATGACTAAATTTACTTTATAAGCAACTAAGAAGATACAATTTCACTCAAAGAGTAAGATTCAGTCTAATCTTCCCCACAAGGGATCTAAATTCAATTAACAATTAATATTACCAGCCTACATTCACAAAATACTCAGCTATATCATCAAAACAAACCAACAAAAGCCTCAAAGAGGAAGAAAAAGCTTAAAACAATAAGAAGAAAGATTTTAAATCAATGAATAGAATCGTTTAATGATAATTTTTTCACCATAAGCCCATCACAGAGGCTCATTAGTCAACACAAAGCATCTTTAATTCCTTTCCATTTTCAAGACAATAAAAAATGATGATGAGTGCCTCAAAAAGTAGATATTTTATTAGCAATTTGTGTCTAACCGACACCGCTTTGCGCACACGAACGGCTTACAGATGAAACGGAATTAAAAAAAAAATGTTTATGCGCAAAAAAAAGTTTAATTGAATATCAAAGATACAGAATGTCTAGGCAATATTTTTTATATTTTTGTTTAAGGAACCGCCAAAGACAGTCGTCATAATTCAAGTTTTACAGCACTTTAAGTTGTCGTTCATCCGCAATCTCGACTGTTCGATATTGCAATAAGAAGCATTCATCATTGAATGATATATAAACAAATATGATGTTTTGAGGTTTATGGTGATGATCATCATTAGTTTCTCTTTGCAGTTCCTACAGTCTACACATGAGAAAGAAACAAAGAAGAAATTGTTTTATTTACATGCAACTTTGTGTAGATGCTAAGTGGAGATTTTAATTAATTTTAATTAAAAAATGCTAATTTGATGTTTTATGAGAGATGTTGAGGACTTTAATGAGCTTGGTGTCTTGAGATTCAGAATTGTTTGAGACACGGAATCTTAATTGCAGAACAGAAATTTCAATGTAATTTAATCAAATCAATTTATTTAGCGTGAAATGGATTATTAAGTCTGCAATCACAATTTCCCTCCGAGGTTTTAATGATTATAGCTGGATTATTGGATAAAACTCTAGACAGAATGAACACAGAAT